ATTTGAATCTATCCAAAAATTTGAATCTTTGAACCTCACTTTGCTCCTGTGATGTGCAATACAGTTACATACCGGCCCCGGAAAACGTACCGATCCGAGAAAGCATATCGACTCTGTTAACTTACCGCTCTCCGGAAACTTATCCACTCTGGTAACTTACCGCTCTCCGGAAACTTATCGACCTTGGTAACTTAACGATTCTCGATAACTGATCGACCTCAAGAAATTTAACTTACCCACTATTGATCAGTTGTTATTGTGTTATCCATTCTTACCGACAAAGACTGACACATAGAAGTTCTAACGTTGAACGGCAGTGTCGCTCTCTCATGTTGACATTTCGCGAGCTTCCTCATTTGTTACAGACGCTGTGTGAGAGTGTAGCCCAATATCTCTACGTATATTACGTACGTATATAATGTAATAGTAAGGTACTCATGCCTATGTGCTTGTTCAGTTTACAAAACGGTTTGCACATTTTTCCTAGTGAAAATGATTCTAAATTATTATAATTCTGAGCCATTATCGTCAAATTTGCCTATTGATTGGCTATGTATATTGTTGCTGCAATTATGTAAATTCGTTAATAGTAGCAATTGTAACTTGTAGCGCTGCGACTTCATTTAATAAAAAGTCTTCATTTGATAAAAGATTAAACCATTTTGCAACCGAGTTAACGAATTTTATTAAATAATCTTGATTTAATTAAATAATCTATGAAACGACAGAGTCTGCTTCATTTCTGCCTATAATTTGCTGTCAGATTTTGTTAACAGGTTCTATGCGCATTACTGACATCAGCTTATCAACATCATATGATAAAAAATTCTGTATGCAATTTGTAACCTTCCTGCTAGCAGACATTGCTAGTAGACTCTGCTTGAAATCTACCTCTGCAAGTTTGGCTGTCTAGGATCAGAAATCGATAGTTTCTGTAATCGTTTATTGGATAATTAATTGTTTATTTGATAATTTGATAATCGTTTTTTTTATAAATAAGTGTCAATTCTCTCTCTCTCTCTCTCTCTCTATCTATCTATCTATCTATCTATCTATCTATCTATCTATTTATCTCTTTGTTTCGTATCATCTTCTAATTTGAATTCTTTTTGGCGAGAAACGTTAGACTGTTTATACTTATTGTCTACTGCCTCTCACATTGTTCGACTCCTTCGAGATTCTCGAAGTTCGTAATTTGTTGACTAACACTGCTTATATAAATGACAGCGGCTCTCGATAATGCTAGCTGGTATTTGACTTTCAACGATTCTTGACTATCCGATAACATAACAAGATACCGCTCATAATTGATGATTTCTTAAATAAACAAGACTAATAAAGAGTTCATTACTGGGCGCCTGTAACCATCATCCTCGCAATCATTAAATTAAGCTAGAGGTTCTACCTCATTTGCGTGAATCGTGGACTTCCCGAGGCTACACACAAAATAATCATCAACACACTCTCTCTCTTTGTGCGTCCGTGCGTGCGTGTGTGTTTCTTTCTCAGTATCACTCATCCTACATAAGTCTATTCAATGGCCACGTTCAACAGAACGTTTAATTTGCAAGTGTTGAAAGTTTTCTGAGCTGAAATTGGATTATTCTTTTAAATCTACAGGAATAATCCAATGTCAGCACAGGAAACTTCCAACAGTTGCAAATTAAATATTCTACTGAACGCGGCCATTCTAAGATACGCTTTCGTACACTTTTTACACTTTCTGCACTGGTGCCACTTGGGATTTAAAATGACACAGATATATATTCAGTGTATGAAAGAGAGAAAGAGAAGGAAGACAATATCGGAGAGTACATCAGCTGATCGACGTGCGCATCACAAAAGCGAATGCAGGCGCTCCGTCCTGCTGAGAAATACGAGGTGAGGTGTGTGAAACGAGAATGCCAGCCCCACATAAACGCGAGAGGCTGGACAGACACGAGGTCGCACTCACTATTCTCCGAAGTGGACCGAACCGAAGAATACTACGTAATAGTCGAGTCCTTCGCATCCTTTCCGGATATTCATAATCAACTAGCGCGCAACTCGGACATGATATCGCATCTGTCAAACTTGCTGGTCATATTTGAGACTATTTGAAATGCGTCGATTGCGGCTCTCAATGGTCACACGTAATTCTACGTAAATTCCTTCGTGCTAGCCAGTCACGTGCTAGAACGTTGGTCTTTTGTACGTGATTCAACAAATCCATAAGTAAGTAAAGAAATTATTTTCCTGTAATGACTCCTTTGTTTATTCGGTGATTTATAATTATGACAATTTTATCAGTTTGTTGCTAGTTTTTGCTGACAGCATGTGTGTTTTAATTTCTATAGTTTTTTTTTGTTATGTAACTTATAGTTTGTTGCCTACCAGAAAGAAATCATGTCGTATTCCATCAATAGAAGACCCTTATTATGGGGTACATCTGATAGTGAATTTGAAGGTGATTTAGAGACAGAGGTAGATGATCCTAACACTGTAATCTCTGACGAGAAACCGTTTTTGAAACCATACGAACCAAGTGACAAGTATGTTCTAATACTAGAATTTAATTTAAAAGCCATGTATCGATAATGTTGATTTTGGATCCCTGCTTATATATGTCTTTTTCTGCATATTTCAGGTATAATCTTGCATACATTGTATTTTACTTACTTGGTGTAAATACATTAATCCCATGGAGTTTTTTTATGACTGCTGACGATGTGAGTGATAACTTTTTTGCTTCTCTTAAAATTATCTGAAATATTCTCTCATTTAATATTTTTCTCTTTCAGTACTGGATGTATAAGTTTAGAGAAATTAATAATTTGACGAATCTCAGCACTACACATGTAGAAAATCTTGCGCAAAAGACAGATCTTCAGGCTAGTTTTACATCTTACTTAAGTGTAGCCAGCGCATTACCAAATACTATTTTCTTGGTAGTAAATGCATTTATTAGCAACAAGTGAGTGAAATAGTTGAAGATTATTATATCTTTTCAGTCCCGTCTTGATTCTGAAATTATCACTCAAACATTATCATCTTTTTATGCATGCATGGTTAGAAAAGAAGAAGAATAGTTAGGGGACCTCTTTTCATTAGTTATTAGTAATTCTGAATCACCTTACTGAAAAATGAAAGATAATTTAACAATAGAGTCTTCAATTTCCAGAGTCTCTCTAACAGTAAGGATGGTGGGTTCTCAGTGTACGATATTGTTGCTGTTTATCTTGACCACCACGTTTGTGGAAATAAATACAGATAAATGTGAGTCATCGATTAATATACATATTCATGTTATGATCGGAACTATTTTTCCTCGTCTCACATACACGATAAATTAATAATTAATAAATTTATGTTCAGGGCAAGATATGTTCCTAATTGTTACCTTGACGACAGTCGCTCTCGTAAATGGTGTGTATGCTAATGAAATGTATCGCAAAGATAGTGATTAGAGTGAAAAATATATTTTAACAGAATGACTATCTTACCGGTTCAAAACAATATTTTATACCTTGTCTTAAATAACACACAATGCCTGTCTTGCGTCTGAAATCTTGAACTAAAAATCCATTCTATTTGAGCTTGATGGCAAATCATTGTATAATAAAAAAAAATAAAAAACAATTATAACTTAGACAAAGATTTAGTGCGTAAAACATTGTCTAAAAGTATTAAGAGTACCCATAAATAATGTCGTTTTTTTTTTGTGTTGAATAAATATCCACTGTGAGGTTTTGAATCCCAACGAAACCATAATTGCTGAATATTATTGTACACAGCTTGATAATGATAGGAACTACATTGTAGATTAATCTGTATTAAGTGTTAAATAAAATAAAATTGTGTACAAGTATCAAAAAGCGACATTACTTATGGGTACCTCTAATACAAGTTAGCCATTCTGCTAACAAAGTCCTAAGTTGTACATTGTTTGAGAAATAACGATATGTGATTGCAGCTGCAAGCGCTATTTTCGGAGGAAGCCTGATGGGTATAGTGGGTAAATTTTCGCCAAAATATATCACCGCTATGTCAGGTGGGCAAGCCCTCGGCGGGATATTCACAGCTCTGGCGGAAGTGTGTTCCCTGTGGATAGGAGCCAGTCCTGTGCTTTCTGGTTTGGTATATTTCATTATCGGTGATACTGTATTACTGTTATCGCTGATTGCGTACATCATGTTAGAAAGAGCGGTAAGTCAGCTTCTTTGAATATACATATATATATATATACACGCTGAGAATCTCGGAATTCATATCGCCTGGCATGTAACGAAATATATCTGCAACAGTCGTTGTCCCATTAAAACAATGACGCACGCCACGCAGATGTTTCATAATGTATGATAAGTTACTTACGATAATGAATATAGGCTTATTCCTTTTGGATATATCATTGCGCTCTAATGTTGTTCCTTTTGTTCGAATCTAAGCCTTTGATCTTTTGCTTTAAGCAATAAGATGTAATTTCTGACAAAAGTCATAATAACGCTCAAATCTTAGGAATTGCAACGTCTGTTGCAGCGCTATTTTGTAGCACTGAAAACACTTTCTTTCTGCCAGAAATTACGTTACAATTTAATGTTTAGAGCAAAAGACTAAAGACTTACTATACTTATTGTCTTTTCTCTTCAAAATGCTCGATTATATATATTTACTTCACTCTAAAGAAGAAAAATATAACTTGGGTTCACAGCTAAAAAAAAATAGACCTCGATTATGTCCTAATATTTACTATTAGTACTGAAAATTTATAGTTCGTTTTACGTATATTATAGAATTTCAGTGCTGGCAGTGAGGAAAAACATTGGAACGCAGCTTTTATACGCATCGTACACGCGTCATAAGGCATTGTATAATCAGCAGATTAAAGCAGGGATTGAATATCGAAATTATTTCGCTATTATAACGATATATATACCAGTATTTAAAATATTACAATTTTGGCACAACATTGGTATTGTGTGTACATCCAATCCCGTTATCATATTGAAATTTTGCATAATACACCAGTATAATATCGATATTTACGGATTCCAATACGATATTGGTGTAATGTCGGTATTGTACCGGCGTTATATACTACTACCACGTTATTGAATGTAAATATTATAGAATCAATTATTCATAATATGACCCATAATATAATTATAATATATATTTTAAAAGAACATAGAAAGGAAATAACATGCATAATATCGTATGCAATACCGATATTATAAAATATATTGATATGATAACGGTATTGAACGCCCATAATGCCGATTACATAGAGATTTTCACAATACCGGTATTTGTACAAATCGATTTTCTTCGATTGTTGGATAACGAGAAATACCGGTATATGAAAACGGTATTTTTGATAACGGTTGAGATTACGTTGTTTCTTTGCAGCCATTTTTCAAGTTTCACATGGCGGAGAAAGTACCTGATCGTTTGGAATCCGATTTCTCAACGAGCGAAGAAGTCGGCTTCTCGGCCGGTCCAACCGTGTCTTATTCACGGATTATCAAGAGAATCTGGCATTACGGAGTTAGCATATTTCTAGTGTTCTTCATATCGCTGGCTGTGTACCCAGCGGTCACCGTGCTGGTGGAGAGTCAATATAAAGGCGAAGGCCATGCGTGGAACGGTGAGTCGCGATACGACGACATCTTGTCGATTTCAAACGGCTAATTCATGGATTTCTACAATACTACCATCTACAATGTTGTTTCAGATGTATACTTTGTACCTGTGGTCACATACCTCATTTTCAGTACGGGCGATTATGCTGGGAGAGTACTGTCCGGCATTTTTCAATGGGTGAGAATTTACGCTTTGTTCATGGGCGTAACCAGGATTTCAGTCAGAAAGAGACAGAAGGGGAGGGCAAAATTTATTCTTTCGCACAATTCTTATTATTATTTATTTCATTTCGGTGCTCTTCGTGTGCGCATCTAAAAGTAAATTCTTCCTACATAGTTGAATTACGTCAAAATTATTGCAGGCCATACAAACACTAACGTAGTGAAATTGAGAAATTTTCATTATATTTATTTTCATAAAGCATGCTGTTAATACTTTGTCATTGGTTCTTAATTTAAATTTAAAATAAAAAATATGCTCCTTTATTCCATCCTAGCTGCGCCCATGACTTTGTTACTAGAATTTACAATCCTAATGATTAATAAATTTTCATATTTGTACAATGTTTGCACAAGTTCTCGTTCCATTGCAGCCAAGGGGCAGGCCATGGCTCGTGATATTCTTGAGCGTTCTCAGGACTGTTTTTATACCCGTGCTGATGTTTTGCAATGCGCAACCAAGGCATCACTTACCCGTTTATATTCACAACGACTTGTATTACATTCTGATAACCATTATGTTCGCTGTAACTAATGGTTATCTGTGCAACTTAACGTTCATTCTCGCCCCCACGTAAGTATCTCCGATAAAACACTCGTTATGATCGCAAAATGTTCTTTACATTTGTGTGCCATGACTTCGCAGAGTCGTAGACAGTCAAGAGAAGGAAATTGCGTCCGCAATGATAGGTGCTTTCTTGGGTGTAGGATTAGCGTCCGGTGCTGCACTTAGCTTGTACATGGTGAAGGCTCTCTAATGTCTACGACAATTGAGAAGTGTAAATATGAAAATATAATGATCTCACTGCCTTTTATATTTATCTGAAATCAGGTAAGAATCACATGAGGCAGTATATTGGCCACGAGCTTCTCTTTTAAGCATAAGTATTAAAGAAAATCCACTCAATCGTTTCCTCGATAGCCATCACACATAAGATATTATTAAAGATTTATATTAATTTTTCGTATTTCCACGAGATAGACATAAGTTAACTGATAATAGGTCAACACAATAATACCTTATTAAAAAATTTTTAACGAATCTGTATTATAAATACAAACAGGCCAATAATGGTCATTTAGGTTTTACTTTAGTCGACGACTGTGAAAAAACTTGAAGTGGCTCGAAACATTCGATATCTACGGTAGTTGGATACTAGATTTTGTTGTCCATACTTAACCGTATTCATCAGTAATCTATGATATAACTACAATATACATAATAATTTTATATCAATTGACGATATGGAATATTTCTTAGATAATATTTTTAATATATAGTTAAAATGTTAAACAGCTTGAGCGCGGAAAATTCAGCGTGGGTCATCGGCCGACCCACGTGGTACGGAACGTATTAGGCATTGATACTCTTAGGCCGATATTTATAGTCGAATCTTATATTTAAGACCATCTTAAGTTTATCTTCAAATACTGTACGGCCCATTTTACTGATTACGAAACATCTGAAAAAGAACTCAAGATCTTAAATATAAGATCCGACTATGAACATACCGGATTTTATTCAGGCTTTCATTGGTCTTTTTGCATTTGACTAATTGTATACTTTTAAAAGTCTTTTTTATTCGGGTCTCTCTATGTTTGATAATTATTATTAGTTTTGACATTATCTATTTGCAAAGCTGCTGAACTAAAAATAATTTGCTATGTCATTTCTTTTGCATAAGAAAAGGTCATAGAATGAGATAAGCTATCAGAATATCTGGATAAGCAGCTCTGACAATTATATAGTACATTATATAGTACATTATTTTTTTTTATTATTTTACTATTTTCCTATTTGACTCTACGTATGAGTGACGACGTAATAATCGACAAGATATGTCGTATTATTACCAATGCTGGAAAATTATACGTTGTTGATATTGGGCAAATCATATTCCGTAGATTTACCATGTTTATATAGCATATATAAGTACATTGTATTTGTATGATTTATAGGATAAACGGTGTAATTACAAACAATTACCTAACATGTATATATGATACAAAAGAAACATAAATATACAAAGTATTTATAGTAATGTATAATTCTAGTCATTTGTGTTACATATATTTTTTAATATAACACTTGTACAATTTAAGAAATATAAATCACCACACTGGACGAGAAAAGATAGATGATGAGTATTGTGTATAATTAATAAAATAAATCTCTTGCATAAATATGTAAACAATTTCATGTACCTTGTCAATAAATATTTAATTATACAATTTTCTCTTGTATTTCATTTGGATATTTTGAAGAAACCTAATGTAAGAGATTACTACGAACTAAATAAATTATAAGTTATACAATCAAATGATATATAAGTTACATATTAGGTATAATATATTAATATATTAAATTAAAATGGATATAACCTGTTGCTTTGTTGATAACTGCAAAATTAAGTCTCGCTTAAGCTTCAGATGCAAATTACGTGGCAGATTTAATATAAATATTAAATTTGCACATACCTACACACATGCATACATACACACACATACATCATAGCCACTTCATGTTAAGAGTCTACAAGTGGGACTATGGAGGTTTTTCGTGAAGATCCCGAAACTACACATTTTTATTTCTCGTTTTCATCAAAGTAAAAAAAAGAATTACTTTCTAATTGTGATATTCGTAATCAGAAGAATCGTCAGTACGAGTTTTTTTTTTTTTTGGAAAAAAGATTAAAATAGAAACGTGATAATTTATTTGAGTGAATGCTCCACTTGGAGTGCAGAGCGAATCCGTATTTTCATTTATTATAAATTTGTATGAATCTAATTGCAAAATCCGGCTTGTACCACAGTGTCACAGTACACTTGCAAAGAAGTCTCCAAAAATAGTTTGGTAACCGAATATGATTTCTCCAAGCCGATATATTGTTGAATGTAAATATCCCGGAAAGTCTAGTCTAGCAAGATATTCAAGTAGCTGACAAAACATTCATGTATGTGAAATAATATATCTTATAATAATAGTAAATATATAAATAACATGTGTTCAAAATTCTAATTGAAGTCGTTAATGTTATCATGCTCATCATGTGAGCCGAGCATGATGCGGCAAACGATCTCTAAACAATAACACGCGGATTACTAACCAACAACAACATAAGTAAACATGAAGCACGCGTGTCTCATCACGTGTTCGGGTAGAAGAACACCGAATTGTCACATCGTATCAAAAACATGATCGAAAAGGCTTCGTCCGATCGAAGGTCGATCAATCTATTCGTTCCGCTGAAAAAAAAACCACGCGTTATATCGGTATATAAACTAGGTGCCTTGAGAGCACCAGAGACCGTTAAAGAAACGTTAAGCGAACTCTCAGCGAGAGAGACTTTTTCGATATTAGACCACGCTGTTCGGATCTAATAGTTCGCGTATCTTGGCTCGCTACGGGTCAACCGTCCGTGCGAGACATCAATTTCACGATTTTCCTCATCTCGTTACGAGACGTCTTTCGCGGCCTCGTGACTACTTCGCGAGTGATTGTCGGTTTATCAGTTAATTATAATTTTCATTTTGAACGTTGTGATCGTCGACTGGAATCGTGTTGCGTCTTGTAACCGCGGTTGTGCGTGGCACACGACAAGGAAGAACTTCATCACGCCTCTTATTGTAAAGGACAGATCGCCATTCTATCGCGACAGAAGAATAAACCATTGCACAACCGCAGCTCGATTTCAAGAATTTCAATCACCACACCGATCCTTCCTTGCATTCCGTGCCTTGCGCTGGGCAGATCCAGCGGAGCATTGCACGCGAGAAAGCTAGTGCATTCGCTCACAAACAACATGAATATAATAATATAAATATATACCTCCACAGATACGGTATTTTGCGCTCTCGACGCTTCTTGGTCTCTGCAGACCCTTAAGTTTATTTTTATTTCAGCTCCATATTCATAGATATACTTTCAAGACCTAAAAGTGACTAGAAAATTAAACCAATCATTGTCAATATATATCTAGATACAAGGCTAGATTTCCCATAAGAAAAAGCGGAATATTCCCTTTTATCTCTTCGATAAATAAAATGGTATCATAAAGACACGAGAATCAACGCATCTCAATAAAAATACTCTCATGCTAAAATTAAATTTATCTTTACCCATCGACTTTACCCAACGACTTTTGCCATCAATAGAAACATCTGTACATGTCTATATATTGACTGCAAATTAATGCATATGTATATATTTAGATGCAAAGCTAGATCTCCCATAAGCAAAGCAAGCTACAGCGGAATATTCCCTTTTATATTTTTAATAAACAAAAAATGACGATATCGTAAAGACGATGAGAGTCAAGGTATCTTAAAATATTCCCATCATGCTAAGTTTAGATTCGTCTTTACTATTTTTTCTATCAACGGAAACATCTGTCTATATAGTGGTTACAGATTAATGCAATTTTCTCTCTCTCTCTCTCTCTCTCTCTCTCTCTCTAATATGTATCTTTGCATGTTTATCAGCAGAGCTGTTTATATACGGTGTCAGAAAAATAAAATAATACTCATCATTCACAACGTAAGCTGACTTATTGCAGCAAACACGTATCTCATGACCGACGATACTGTCGTTCCTTATCAGTCAACGGTACGAAGACTACGCTCATCAAAGATCGTCGTTTAATTTGGCCGTCTATGGTTTTATCGACTTGTACTAAGACTTGATCAGCGTTCTCGGGACCCATCGGCAATATTAAACGTCCACCAGGTGCTAATTGATTTATCAACTGTAAATAATCAGATGGTACCGTCGTATAATTAACGTCTATTCTATTACATATTCCAGAATAGAATTTCAAGTCAAAAATTCTTTTCTTACCGCTCGTGGCATTTCTTTAGCGGCTGCTCCTACGTGTATAGCGTCGTACGGTCCACGATCGGGATAGCCCAATCTTCCATCGCCAACTAAACAGATACAGTCGTGATCGAGCAATTTTAATTACATTCGTATTTTCTAGAGAATAACATATATGGCACAGAAAGAAAAATATGAAACAGAACCATAATTGATAAGATCTCTAGATACATCATACTTGAAAGAATTAGATGAACCCTAAAGATTGACTTTTTATCGTTACTCTGGATTATTAATATGTGAAAGTGAAATTTGATCTTACCAACTAATTCCACTCGTCCGTCGCGTAAAAGTTCCGGATGATCGTGACGAATATTTTCTTCAGCCATTGCTCGCAACTCAGGAATATGATCGATCCCAACAGCTAAACCGTTTGGTCCCATCATAATGGCCATGCATGCTGTCAAATATCCCGATCCAGAACCAACATCCAATGCTTTTCCCCCGTCACGAAGTTTTTCTTCAAGCAATTCCAGGGCATACGCGTGCTAAAGAATATTCATTTGCATTCTGACTTATAATTTTTGCAACGTTTTTCATTAATTAATTTATTGATAATAAGAAACTGAAATCATATTTAAATAAAATTTTTATTCATAATTGTATTTCATATGTGATGAGAAAATTATGTTCTTCATATATACAAAGTTTATACCATATGAGGGGCACTAATGGTAACACCGTAACCAATCCCTTGTGGTGAATCCACATAAGCATGACTGGGATGAGTATATTTCCCTCTATCCACAGAGCTCATTGCCTCAAGTACTCTATCAGATTTAATCATTCTGTTTCCTACAAAAAACAATTTTATACGACATATTAAATATAACATGCACTAATAATTTTCAATCTATATAACTTATATGTGCGCATGTGTGTAATATATTATAAACAGAAAAACTTAAATAGAACTTTACAAAACTTAAAATTATTATCCATATATATTTAATTTTAAATTATTATCCATATATTTTTAATCGTTTCTTATAAACCTTTGTACGACATGTAAAATGTAAACATAAAAAATTTAAATATAAAGAAGCCCGGGTTTCTTTTCATTCATATATTTCTAAGTCAAAGCTTCATCAGCCGGAATGCAAATAAAGCGGATTCAAAATGTTCCGTAAGTCGTTGTCGCTACGTCGTCATGATTCTAAATCAACTAGACAGTCTCGCCAATGTCGCAATGTAACGTAATGTGACACAATGTTGCATAACCACTTTATACGCTGCTATCGCACCGGTCACTCACGTTTGAGATGTTGCACGAGCTCCTGATTGCTCCTGCCATGATAATATCCATGCATGATTTGTGTAAATACAGCAGGTGTCAAAATCGCGAGCGTCGTGTACAGACACCCTAAAATACGCGGCCGTGCTGTTAGGTGATACGTCGTGGCGGCTGCCGGTTCCTCGGCGAAAACAAACACGAGGTTGCTCCGTCGGCAACCTGTCGCTTTTGACCACCCAGTAGCTTATCGTGCCTACCGAAAGTACCGCCTCTCGGCGATTCCCCGACTCGGTTGTTCTATAACTTGGACGTATCGCTCAATTTGAGGGTGTATCAACGACGTCTACGACAAACGACGTAGTACTTTTACTGTTGCTTTGCCAGCAATTTCTTTCTTCCCCCGTTCGATGCAGATGCAGTTCACGATGACGAAATGTATCTCAACCGTCTTCTATCACTTCGAGCACTGATAATTTCGCAAAAATCGCTGCGACACGACCGGATCGACGTCAACCGTGATCCCACGAGACGTTTTGAAACGTTCTAGCAGCCGTGGATTGCGCGATTGCTGAGGACTATTGGGCAATCGCGCAAGCTCGCGTCGAGTTTTCGCGCGCGAACACGCACCATATTTGAAAACGTGTGAGAAGAGGTTCGTTCGTTTTAGACAAACTAGATTGCATTCTTTGCCTTTGGAGTGAAACAGGTGTGTATCTTGGGTTAAAGGAAAAGAGAACGAAGTTCTAATGCAACACTAGCTCAGCTAAAACGAACAGGTCTAACGAGATCTTCGATTTAATTTCAATTGAATACTGTACAATCGGTCATACGTGCTGTACTGTTTCCTAAATCGAAAATTACATAATTTTCAGCCTTTCTTTATGGAAGATTATATATTCTTGCTTATATACACAGAGAAAAAAACTTATTTGGGTTTAGCATATGTGTTTGTATGACTTAGGTTTGCTTAATATATTGTTCTACTAGAATAAACTATGTTTTTTGATAAGAATATCAGTACTATTTAAAAGAAATTTGTTTTCAATAAAAGAATTTTATTTTACATATTAAACATCGTTTCACTGAAACGAAGAAGTGTTTTAATATTTCTCTAACATAATGTTATTTCCTTCAAATAATTTATTGCTTGTGACAATCATTATGTTTAAATGAAAATATGTTATGTTGACATAAAGATATTTACTGTTTAAGAAACCAAACAATCCTGTTTATTAAATCAAACATTCGTTTGTTTGCTCCATCGCAAAAGACAAATTTGTAAGAAATGATATTAAATCCAAAGAAATCTTTTTCTCTGGTACGTGTGAAGCAGTAAGGAATAACGTGTTAAAGAAAAACATCTTTTTTCCTCGTTGTTAAAAAAGTTTATTTTCCTATTATTAATCTTCCTTGTTACAATTCGTCCTTTACGCGTGAAGATTTGCGTGAGTATTGAAAATTTTATGCTTCGGGATTATAGGACATTTGTAAAACAAACTGGTGGAGACATCGTCGCTGTAACAAATTTGAGATTTTACAAGAATAAATAGCGAGGGATGAGTTGCATGAAACGTCGAACGTAATCGTGATAATCATTCGTTACAATTTAATAGAACTGGAAGAATGAGTACAATAATTAAGGATTATTTAACAGGATATATGTAAAATATAATTTATTAATACAGTTCACACTTGCAAGTGAGAAGCCTATGTCAGTGATTGCACGCGTGTTAAGAGAAATAAAATTAATCCGGGGGGAACAGAAGTCCTAACCCAACAAACACGAACTGACGGTAATGTTGCAACTTGTAAAAGTTACAACAACGTTATAATTTCCCACTCAACGATGTAACTATTATATTGCAACGCATATTATATTGCACTTACATTGTTGAGAGAGAAATTATATTCGATGCTACTGTTGGTTGGTGTTTATTGAGAATTATCGTTGATAAGCGATTTTTCGCGCGCAATTCGTTAATCACCCACTCGAATTTTGTGCCTGTCGCGAGACAGCATCTAAACATTCGTGTTACGTAGCTGAGTAGTGGGATCCGTGAGGGGCACATAGGAAACCTGCATCAGTTTCTTCTGTGTAATCGCGCCGTCTGCGCTCTTATCCACCTGTAGCAAATCTTGGAACCTTTGGAAACCTTGTATGGCGACGACCGGGCAGATCAGTCGACCTCCGGGAGCTAGTTGGTCTATCAACTTGAAAAATCATGTCGTTCACGCGAGCACGGTATTACAGTTTTTTATGTTTCTGCTATTATTCAAATCGAATGATCGAAAAAAAGATTGACTCTAACGCTCCTGATTTCTTCCCAGATAGCCAAATCTGTGGAAGCAAATTTTGCGCAATATCTGCTGTAAATTTTGCCGGCAGCTTGCTAACAGAAACACAACAGAATTTGTTAAAAAAGTGGTAACAGATTAACGGTAGAAACCGAGTTAGAATCTGTCGTTTCGTCACCATTTAAATGTTTTAAGTGGAACATATTGCAGATCTTGTTCAGTTTCTGCTGCCAATCTGCTGTCAAATTATATCAGCAAGCTCTGTTGACAGAATAAAAACTTAATGCAAACATAAATAGCTATGGATCTGCCACAGTATTTTAATCGAATTTGCTACCAATCTGCCAGCATATTATTAATATTTCGCTTACTGGGAAAATTATGTCTATGATTTGCTCTCGACACCGTAATGCGATGAAATATCGGTGAGAAATCAGGACTCTTGATGGCTCGTATTTACAACTAAAAGCATGGCATGTTGAGCGTGAAGGAAATTTACTATGATATGACTCTTTGTTAATTCTCTCATGGCACAACATCTCAATATTGTTTCTCAACAGGTACACAAGCATGTCGTCGTGCTCACCTCTTGCGGCAAAGTGTCGGCTGCTGCTCCAACGTGTATAGCGTTGTAAGGGGCCTCATCAGCGTATCCCAATCTGCCGTCTCCCACTAGGCGCATTCATAATGACCTGTCGTTAGTCGGCAGTCTCTTTATCTTTTACCTTTACAGCAAAGACACACAGTCGGGTGAACAGTGTTCCGTTCGACTCTTCACGTTAACGTACATACCAACTCCATCCGTGGACGGATCACGAGTATCTTTTTATTCGGACTACGCACGTGGCGATAATACTTGGTGATTTCGAGAGAGAGCAAGAAGCTTTCTCTTTTTTTTCTGTCGTACGACGAACGGTATTATTCTTTCGTGTCTTGTGATTGTCGTATTACAGCGAGAGAGGGAGGGGGGGGGAGAGAGAGAGAGAGAGAGAGAGAGAGAGAGAGAGAGAGAGAGAGAGAGAGAGAGAGAGAGAGTGTGTGTGTGTGTGTGTGTGTGTGAGAAAGAGCGATCGTATGAGGGAATAACGCAACATGGGTGAGAGAAGGAACTTCGACTGTCTGTTAGCGCAGGAGCATAAACAAGAGGGGCGAATAACGGACGACCGTTAATCGGGTGCCGGCTTACCGACAAATCTGATGCGTCCCTCCTTGAGGAAATACGGAGAATCCTCACGCACGTTCCTAGTGGAGATCTCTATAAGCTCGGGAATGTGCTCGATACCTATCACGCGTCCACGCGAGCCCACCATGAACGCCATGCAGGCGGACAGGTAGCCCGAGCCCGAGCCGACGTCTAGTGCCTTGGCGCCGTCGACGAGTTGATCGGAGAGAATCGACAACGCGTACGCATGCTGCAAGAGATACGACAACCTGTGTGACTCATCAATACTGTTGTGTATATTGAATGAATTGAACGCGTATCGAGCGACGAATGTGTGTGTGTATGTGCGCGCGACAATGTCTCGCAGTCAGACGATTATCTATACCGGCCGGACGCGTCGGAAAATCTCCAATCGGCGGAAACCAAATATGAGTTTAACATAAATAACGTGTAAGCGCGATAAGAAGGTTACTCTGATACCCCCATTTCAGTACTCTTGATAATTGGTCTTTCTTTGTCCCATGTACCGGGTATATCTTTGCGCACACGTAGATACATGTATGTTCTCTAGGAATAATTCTGCGAACAATATTGGAAACAATTTATACCCTATGTAAAAAATAAAAGATGTTAAACTATGTAAAAAATAAAAAATGTTGATTGATGAACGAAGATTGTGAGATTACGGTGTACGCATAGCATATATGTTTGAGAACATGTGTAGAAATTGTATCGGCAGTTTATAAATTAGATTTATTAGCAATTATAGTGCAGTATTTTATATATATATATGTGTGTGTGTGTGTGTGTGTCATATTTATATATATTTATATTTTATCTACTGTGTACTTTATCTACCGTATACTCTATATTTAAAATAAAGCAAGAAATAATCTGTACAGGCTTGTCTGTTCACACAAATATCTACGTAAACGTTAACCTTGTGTGAGATAAAAGATACAGATATACTTACCATATGTGGCGCACTGATTGTCACATTGTAACCAATCCTTCTGGGACGATCGAGGTAAGGATCTGATTCGTGGCAATACTTTGCTCTGTCAACAGCTAGCATAGCGGCCTCTGCTCTGTCCGTTGCCAATATACCAGCGTCTGTGAATAATCTGTCTCTATAATTGCCGTACAAATAAGCGATCGTCTCTAACTAAAGAAACACTCAAAACACCGTTATCAGCACAATTAAACCACCCTCTCCAGTTTACATTGTGCGATGATCGTATAGGTCGTTTACCTTTCAACTTCGTCACCATCTCTTGATTCGTAGTGCCATTGCAGTGCCATGCCATGCTTCGTGCTCTTGTTGTGTACGATTCGCAGGCTGCGTATTATAGCCACAAACACGTCCGCCTACGTGAAACGATACATAGACGTACTGACAAACAGACAGAACACTCAACGATCCCGGATATAACCAATTAACCCAGGTCGGGATTTCAGGCGACAATTGTCGAGCCCGACTACAATTTGTTTGAAGAGAGCGATAAACGATGTTTACGTACCCCGAGAGTCTCAAGGAAGCCTCATTTACCATAGAACATCTTCACTCCTGCTGACGATGTATGTGCCCAATATGGCCGTGAGGACACAGGTAGCGACCATAAGGGTGTATTCCTGGTGGGGGAAATAAAACAGCTGATGCGGTACTATCGATTCGCTTTCCCGCGCACGAGATAAGGGTTATCGACGCGCAATATTTTCATGACGATTTCAATTAAACGCGTATTTAAATTCCGTCGGACGAATTGACACGAACATCGGAAAATGCCGCAACGAAGATCCAATTAAGGAATTATCATTGCAAAGTGTCGAATCCAACAGCGACGTCAATCTTCGTCGATTCTTAAGAAATCAAAAGTTCGAGTGAGGGACAATTGCGATAAATAGATAAATAATTAATTTTATAAATATTTGCAACGTGTTCGTCGGCTCTCACTGGAAAATCACCGAAAATCGCCGGTTACGTAACTGTAGCGAATTTATTTGTGTCGCGTAGCGTCGACGTTTTCATGAACGATGCGCATTTTGGACGCGATTCAATCGCCGGAATTTGAAAATAAATTTCTTAAACGTTCTCGGAGAACTGATTGGCTAAAACGTGAAAGTCATGTCGCACATCAGCCAATACATTGCTTCATCGTGAAACGGTTGGTATCACTGCAGCGCGAGCAACGCGCACGATTTAAATAAACGAAGCGCCGCGCAAATTCGACATATACGTTATCACCCGATAGGTGTAAATGAGCTCCCTCTGTATCGAAATTAGCGCTCTTTGCGCCGAGCCGTAATTTAATCAATTAATAAGTAATCGTAAGGTACGACAGCGACGCGCAGTAAATCAACTGTCTTCCGCGATTCGGAGAGACGAATCAATAGTAAATCATTAACGGATTACGCCTGTTTGTGTCGTGATAATTTAGAATGACGCGAAAGATACAATAAAGAAGATGTCACTCTGTAAAAGGACATTTTCATTATAGCGATATGATAGCTTTTGAATTAAACGCGAAGCGCCGAGATTGATACAGACACAAATGACTTGAAGTGGAAACTTTCGAAAAATATAGGCGAAAAGATTGTATAATTTGTATTTATTCAGGATCGGGTAAGTTCATTTTTATTTTTAACCAAGTTAAGTTGAAAGTTATTAACTTTTTAACTTAATTTTTAATTTATCAACTAGTTATTACCCAGTTTGCAATTCGATGTTAATATTGATTTAACATTTAGTTTAATATATTAAAATAATATATAAATATATATATAATATTAAGAATATATATATATTAATAATATATTAAAAGAAAAGCCAAAAGACTATTTTTCTATATATTGCTTAATTTATAGTTCCTGTTTCCTTATTGTAACTCAGACGTGTAAACCTGTAACTAACCTGTCGAAAACCGAATTAAGTATCTTTTACATCGCGAAAGCCTAAAATGTCATGGATCTATTCAGCATAAGTATTCTGTTGGTGTAACTCCTCTGAAATTATTTTTCAGCAAATATTAACTAATAGTAACATAAAATCAATATTATTCCTGTTGAAAATTTCCAGATAGATTCCCATGGAAATCCATAGGACTCGTGTAAATCCATAGAATAATAAAAATCCATATAGGAATCCATGGTTTATGAAAATTCATGTAGGAATCCACATGGATTCCTGTCTAGAATCTGAGTCTTTGGCACAAATCCCCAACCATATTGAATTCCGTATATTATAGATTTTCTATATGAATTTCTATCTGGTTCTTTTTAACAGGGATAATTTCCCACACAACATTGTAAATACAATATAACGTGTGTGTTATATAACAGTGTTAAATTGTTGAGTGGAAAATTATAACATTGATGTTATATGATGTTATGTTACTGTTACTGTTGGCGTTTGCTGAATTTGCATTTATATGTGAATGGTAATAAATAATAGGAATAGTATTTTATTGTTTGGTAATATATAATCTAAAATTTGGTCAAGCATCGTTTATTTTCATTATCATGTAACTATATATGTAGTATATGTGTTGATACGATAAAGCGGAATAAATTGATATAGATAATTTAATGAATTACATATATTAGATATTTGTTATCCGTGAAACCCATAACAATATTGGAACTTTTCTATATAATTCAGATACTTTTCAAGCGGTACGAAGCTAACGATGGATCCGATAAAACGATGTAGTCGTGTTTATCGTAAAGTTTGTAGATACAAAATAAGACGCGTCGATCCACGTGCATTCGCAAGCGAGCTCGGTGAGATAAGAGTTACCCCTTCCGATATGAATTTCTGTAGGATTGACGATTGCTATAAATTAAATTAGAATTCAACCGCCGAGTCGAGTGTGAGACGCAACGAGCTATCGTTTTTGTTATTGCACTGATGTGTCGGTGCTCCGTCAGTTTTCGCGAATTTCGTCTCTTGAATCCTGCCTATTCGACGATCCCGAAAACGTGACACTAGTGCGATCGTGCTCCTTTGGAAAAACGACGTACGATGGAGAAACGTGAGAAACCACCGTCGGAACCGGGCAAGTGGCGGCAATTCCTTGCTGTGATGGTCGGTGAGTTGAAATGGTGGAAGAAGTCTTTTCTCTTCGGGATGCATCGATACCTTTCGATCGGATTATTAAAAGAATTTTGTCGTTAACTCTGTCGTTAAAAAAATCCTTTTGCCATGCCACCTTTTAAGAAAATAAGAAAACTGAAGAAAACAATTTGGGAAGCACTCTTATTATCTGATAAGCAGATGTTTAAACAGTGAGAGACCATATGGAGAGATCAGGTTAATTTTCATATTTATAGATTCAATTTAAGTTCATGAAGATTATCGATTATATCGAAAAAAACTGTGTTACGCGACTCACTATATATGAAGCAACAATAAAATTAAGTAACAAGGAGACGGTTATTTTTTTTAGTTACGGTTATAATGCTCATCTGAGTAGCGAAGAACTATGCAGGGTGACAGAAAACTCGAAGAGATAAGTTTTCGGCGAACTAAGTCGTTTTACTAATGTCTGCAAATGTTGTTAATAAACTTCAAGTATCGCTAACATTGTTAACGGATGTCTGACGAAGCAGATTGTCTTCCCAGTGTTTCCTAAAATCCGGTATTACTTATAAGGGACATCCAGCAATGCGTAAATTCAAAAGAATCTAAATGTTTTGCAAGATTGTAAAGTAGACGGATTTAATAACGAAACAATTTTTCATTTGTGTTCAAAAGCGATTTTAGGAATTGCCTTTTGAAAAAAATAGGTTTTTATATTTCCAAGCGAATATCATCGAAACCATGCATGTAAGGATATTTTCAACATTCATTTCTCAAATATGTGTTTTTGAGATATAACTTCATTATATATGATTGACTTTTTGGTTATAAAATAAGCTTTAATTTCACTGCAAAATAAATATAGATATGAGAAAAAATATGAGTAGAGAGGAGGCCTATTTAGAAAAATATAACATTCTCGAAAAATCTAAATATGTCATCATAAAGTGCATTTAGAACCATAGAACTTTTGTCTATAATATTTTTCATATCTCTAATAGTTTCGATGACATTCACTTATACAGAAAAAAAGTGCTATAATCAAGGAAATGTAATTTACTTATTTTTCAACTTTTTAAATCAAGTAATATTTTTATTAATTTAAATATATTTTAATTTGAAGCCTATAAAATAAAACCTTTATTTGAACGCAGTAATACCTGAATTTGTAAATGAATGTAAATGTAAAATGGTTCTAAATTTAAAAGAATATTTTCTAAAATTATGTAATACTTCTCTTCCATTGAATAAACTGTGGTTTTAAATTTCGATTTTTCTATCCAATAAATATTTTCAAAAATAAATTCTAATATTTTCAATATTATGAATTTAATATTTGTCGCAATTGTTTTAACATATACATAATCATAATACATATACATGTACATAATCAATTATATTTCTACCTTTAATAAATATTTGCCAAGGAATCTTGGAGTGTAACTATTTTACTTGGATCAAGTAAATATTATTTGACAACAGTAGCACTTTTTTTTTTCAACGTAGAAATATAAGAACCGATTTTTTGGGGGGTTATTTTCCAAACCGATTGTAAGCATCAACGAAAAATTGTTTCTAAAAATTAAAAAAACTTGTATTAAGTCAGTTTACTCTATAATTTCGCCAAATTTCCGATTTTTTGGGACTTACACATTGCCGAATGTCGCTTGTCAGGCAATCACATCTTGTTGTTGTCCTCACAGTGAATCTCTCGACAATGACGTACGGTCTAATGGTGGGATGGCAATCGCCGTATGGTCCACAACTGCAAAGCTCGTCGTCGCCTGTAGGAAACGAGCCCATGACGGACGAAGCTGTGTCTTGGTTGAGTGGAATTACGTGCTTGGCTGGCGGCTTAGTGACTGGATTACTCTCGGTAATACCGGACAAGTATAGCCGGAAGCGATTCGGTTACCTGCTGACGTTGCCAATGGTCATCTCCTGGGTGCTGATCATCTTCGCTACTGAGCACATACATATCTACATAGCCAGGTTCCTACACGGTGTGGTTGGCGCCGGTACGTTCTTCTTCGTGCCGGTCTACGTGTCAGAAATCTCGAACGATAACATACGCGGTTTGCTGGGAAGCTTGCTGATGTTCGCCATAAACTTCGGCATCTTGCTGGGTTACGTCCTGGGCGGCATGTTTTCCTTGAGCGTCTTCGCCATAATTAATCTGGCGGGGCCTGTGTTGTTCTTAGTCACTTTCGCTTTCATGCCAGAATCGCCGGTCTACTTGGTGCGTCAAAATCGCATACGAGAAGCGGCTAGGTAAAAAGAATAGAGTCACATTCGTGCGCCCCTTTTAGAACATGTTACATGACGACCTTGTGATTCGCTTCTCCAGGTCTCTGAAGTGGCTGAAAGATGGAGACGGTCTGGTGGCGGAACGCACGCTGTCGTATATACAGGCAAACATGAAGCAAGCTGACACGGCAACGAGGTCTGTCAAGTTGTCGGATTTATTTCGGGACAGAGCGACGATTAAGGGACTAATAATTGTCACGGGTCTATTCATCTGTCAACAATTTTGCGGGATCTTCGCGATGGTAATTGTCGATAACCGTGTCCGACGATTTCCTCATTCACGAATTCTCCTCACTTAATCAGTCACCAGTTCCAATATAAAAAAGGAAAAAGAAAGTAAAAAAAGGAGAAGATAAATCGATTCCAGTTTCCGATTTCTTTCGTTCGCAGATCACCTATACAGAGACTATTTTCGAAGCATCCGGCAGCTCGTTATCGCCAAATGCAGCGTCCGTCGTGATTGGAACCATACAATTGTTCGGCGCATGCTTGGCGTCGTCCTTGATGGAGCGTGCAGGCAGACGATCGTTGCTCCTTATATCCTGCGTGGGGATGTGCTTATGCCATTGCGTCATCGGCGGGTATTGTTACTTCCAGGAGTTCGGATATAACGTAACCGCTTACGGCTGGGTGCCGGTGACCGCATTATCGGTCTTCATGATAGTGTACTGTCTGGGAATGGGCGCTGCACCCATCATCGTAACGACCGAGATATTTAGCCGCGATGTTACCAGCCTGGCGACAACGATAGGCTTGTGTTGCCTTTGGTTGGCTGCTTTCGTCATAGTAAAGGTATTCGCCCAACTGATTGCCTTGTTGGGCATGTACGGCTGCTTCTTCCTCCTCGCGCTCTGTTGCGCGTTGAGCTTCATATTCTGCTTTGCGTTATTACCGGAGACCAAAGGACGGATACGCGAGGACATAGTGGACGAGCTTAACGGGAAACGGTGTACAAAAAGTGAGAAAGACGCGAAGCACATCATTGGCATGGATTCAGAGCACGCGGCTCACGTGTGAAGATACTGTGTGTTGCGCGTCAGATATAATTACCTAATTAGAATCAATGCCTAAAAGTGCCGGAGGAGGGAAAAATTCACGTGTCGCAAACGCATATTTTTTATTACGCCCTTTTTCACGCTGATTTCCTCGCTGTTGCTTTCGCAAATCTTTACCAGTTTTGCTCGTAGCATTTATATCCGGCACTCGAGGTTTGGAATATTTCCTAACATTTATTAAGTATTTATTTTATGAGCATGTTATGTACGAGCGAGGTGTTTCTCCGTTATAATTTAGTCTGAGGAGACGAAAGCTAGTTGAGTATGTAAATTACTGCGTTCATTCATGATGACTTTAGAGAGGAAATTTCTCCTTAGAGAGGAATCTCATGAACTGCACCAAATAATGTTACATACAAACATACACACGATATATTACGTATAATACCTGTATCATCTAAATTAATTAAAAATTATTAATGTTAAAGGTCCAGATATTTATATAAAATATAATCGAATTTTTTATTTACAATCGTATTAAATGTACATACGCGTGCTTTACATGGAGGATCAAGTTTATATACCTTTTTCCCAAAACAATTGTATGGGCTATTCCCACATAACACGTATGTCTAAAAGACGTCTTATCGTCTCAAAGACATCTTAAGACGTCTTCATATTCTCTGGGTTACTTATAACCCAGTTCTCGGTTCACGAATATTATTATTATTACCTGATGTTTCTTTGATTGCTCATGTGTGCCAGAAATAAGTATTTTAATCATACAATTGAAGATTAAAAAAAAAATATTGCGTTACCATCGATAAATGAGTATTATTGTTAATCGTCAGTCGCTCTTTTGCGCACGTTCTTGTTCCCAATTTTACGTTTCTTGAAAGTAACTGATGTCCCCTCATCGTCACTATCACCGGCAATTTTCGTAACAGTTCTTTCCTTAAAAGTTCTCTGCAGAGGCGGTAATTCTATCTTCTCGAAAGTAGGTAACTGTATTTGCTTCTGCTTCGGCAACTGCAGGTCTACTGGCTTTTTTTCGCTGAAACATCATTTCTAAATTTATGCCCGAAATATACATGAAAAATGGCGTGGAGAAAAATGTAATCTTCAAGTGAGAATATTTAATATTAATATAATACATAATACGCCGAATAAATTGTGTATACTGCACTGTGTACACTAATTAACTAATAAAGCAATTAATCAAGCAATCAATGAAACTAAGAGTTCCAAATAAAATATAAATTTGCGATTTTTATTTATATGATTATTGAACAAATAATTTATTCTACTTAATGATATATGTAAAATATATTAGTGATATATGTAAAAATGTATGTATAATATTAAGAAAGAAATGTAAAACCCGGCTAACTTAAATATACATAAAACGCACGTATATGTGTGAATGCTGATTTTTATGCAACCGCGCGCGCGCTCGAGAATTACGAACGAAGGTTCGTCGTCGCGCAATAAATCTCCACGAAAAGTGTCTTAATCTATCGCGGCGACCCGAATAATATGACGTTCAAATATTTACATAGTCTGCACAATTTGCCAGGATCCGTAAGGCTGTGGTCTGTCGGGCACACTGTAGTCTCGCCTGTAAGGTCGTTCCTCCTCGGCCGCTTCTCTCTTTACCTCTCCCGCATTTTTGTCGTCACTTTCGGCATCGTCATTTTCAGCGGTAGCTTGCGTCGAACGTCTCCTAAATTCTCTCATCTTCTCTCTTTCGACATTGGCCCGTTGTTCCTCGATAATATCCGCCTTCTTAATCGCTTCTTCCTTGTCTAATTGTTCCATGAGTTCCTTCTGAAATGCTTCTTCCTTCGCCTCTTCTTCTTGTTCCGCGAAAGTCATATAACCTTCCTCTGGAGGCTCCCAAACTGACTCTAGTGTGTGTATTCGATAATATTTATACAGGTTTATTTAATAAATAAAACATGTAAATATATATCCGGAAAAAAAATTTCTCATATATAATTATATATTTGTATATACATTTTGTTTGATAAATAAAGCAATATCGAAATTCGACATTTTTTTCTAGATATATATTCACATGTTTCTCTTTTTAATTTTTAATTTGTCACAGTAATTATCACCTTAACTCGTCCTTCTCACAATAACATAATAATAAGTACTTTTTAATATGCTAATTTTTTAGTTTTAATTAAATTTACATATATATAGTAAATGATTTATTATAATAATTATAGCTAAATATTTTTTATTCCTTTCGTTACTTTTCACCAATTATATTTCTTATTATAAGTTCAAGTATTTTCTCTTTCTGTTTTAACGCATAAACATAAATGGAAAAAATTCAAATTCAAAGTGAATTCAATTTATGATACGAAATTTGTTGACCAGTGGAATTAGACGAGCAAGGAGATAAAAAACAAGTTTGATAAAGGATACGTACCGTTGGTCTCAATGTGCCAGTAGTAGGTGTATCCTTCGGGACTGAGAGCTTCGTACCACAGTTTCCTGACGGGTGCGCTTGGACGATCGTCCTCATGGGATTTCTTCCCTTTCCCCTTCATCTTGCTAGCTTTACTCTTCCCTGGAGTCCTGTTCTCGCCGCCCTGCTGAACCCGAGGAACCGATGGCGTGTTCTTTGACAAAGTCGCTGGATCGCAAGGATCTGTCGCTATCGGGAAGAACTGGAAAAGTTGGAAAAACGGAAAGTCGTCTCGTACTGATAAAATCGTCGTATAGCGTATTCCAGTTTTCTTGGGAAATGTGGCTTCGTATAATCAAGCGTAATATTTCCGTTAACGAAACTGTTTTTAATCATGATTTCATGAATAAAGCGGATAAACACGATTGCGTCGTTTCATCGTTCTAATTGTCGGGTAGCAATCGAAAAAAAATCGATTGAAGGATTCACTCACCTGTTCGGGTTTACTTTTGAATCTTGCTACTGTCTCCGGAGCGGCAGATGACATGCAACTTTTTTGAGGCGTTCCCTAATAATATAAAAAACGTAGATATGAAATCAAACTATATTCCTAATCAAATACATTCTGTTAAATAAATACCGAGAATTATTCATTTCAAAAGCCCGCATAAAAGGCATGAAAACAAATTTTTTGCTGTAAATTGATACCAATGTACCTAATTGTCACGAGTTTTAGCGCCATCTGTCAACCAGTTTGTTTACAGCTGTTGGTTTTGTTAGTCAACCTCAAGTATACTCTGCGATTTTTTAAATGGATAAAAATATTGAACAAAGAGTTTGCCTCAAATTTTGTGTTGCCAATGAAATTTCTTGTGCTGAGTCGTTGAAAATGTTGGAGAAGGCCTATGGTTTGACATGCAAACCAGCCAATAAGCTTCAGAATGGCGTTTCGATAACGAGCTGAAACTGAAAAAACGACGCTCGAAGTTGCTTGAAAATCAAAGTCATGTTGACTGTTTTCTTTGACTATCGTGGTGTTGTCCACTCGGAATTCCTTCCAGAGAACCAAACAGTCAACAAACAATATCTGGGCGTTATGAAGTGTTTGAGAGAAAATGTTCGCTAGAAAAAGCCAGATATGTGGAAGAACAATTCTTGGATTTTGCGCGATAATGCGCCGTCCCACACATCGACCCTTGTACGCGAATTTTTTACCAAAAACTCCATGAACATCATTGACCAAGCACCATAATCGCCAGATATGGTATAATTTTTTCCCGTTCCCCAAACTCAAATTACCACTTAGTGGAAAATGTTTTGAGTCCATTGAAGATTTAAAACAAAATTCGCAGAAGGAGCTGCAGGCCATACTGGAAAGTGCTTATAAGAAGTGTTTCGACGACTGGATTATGCGTTGGAATAAGTGTATCGCATCAAATGGAGCCTATTTTAAAGGCAACAAAATAAATTTGGAAGATTAAACCAATATTTTATGTTTTATTGAACAATTCCCGGTATTTATTTGACAGAATGTTTATGTTATTTTGAGTAATTGGAAGAGGCTAATATAAGAGCCGGCGTTGGTAATTAATTACAAAAATTAATAAATTGTTTGACTTACCAAATCGATGAGTCTAACGAATAGGAACAAAAATAGTCTAATTGATAAGTCAAGTAATTTTTTAATTTTCACAACTAATTACCACACAGCGTCAGCTCTTATTGAGTTCTTTCGATTGGTCAAAGATAATATATCCCGCTTTACTTTTATATTCTTTCTTATAATATTTTGGATAATATATTAACAATTTCCTTGTTTTATTATAGATATAGATATAAATATAGATACAAAGTCATTCTTATCTTCGTGGGGGAAAATTCGAAAAAGAGTGGTCCGTTAAATTTAAAATATGTGTTGCAGGGTAACACCTGAAGATACATATTAAATTCAACAGAGACTATTTTTAAATATGCTCTCTCACCTCTTTCGTTTCTACCTTGTTTAATTTCTCCTTAATGATCCTCTCAGCAGTCATGTCTCGCGTGTTATTCTCGACATCCTTCAGGTACGCGGCCATAGCAGCCTGAACGAGAGAAGAAAGGAAAAAAGAATAATTATCTCACCATTAACACCTCACATTCTTAATTAATTCGTAGACGACAAAGACGTACGTTCTCCATCTTCTTAATGTCGTCTTCAAATTTCTTGTTCTGCTTCGCCTGCTTCGCGCTATTCTTGTGTATCTCCTTGAGTCGCTTGCTGACGTTTTCCTTGTGTTTCCTGCCACCCTCGTGGAAGTCGATACTCGGTTTATTATCGGCAATCCAACACTTGCAGAAGTCGCAGAACTTGCGGTTCTGAGATTTCCAATAGTCCGTCCTGCAATCCATTATCATAATCAGAATAACATCATACAAATGTAAGATCTCCGTCACATGGAGACGGCATGTCGACCAAAGTCAAGTTGCGCGTAATACAAACTGAGTACGTCGAATAAAACTTTTCTATAAATATTTAAAAAGAGATATTTTTTTTTTACATTTAGATGTTACGTGAAATCTCGACGAGCAAAATGCATAGATATTTTTGCAAGGACCGAAATGCGCGCGATTCGAAATAGTCGAAAAGTCCTATTTTCGATGTGATCGATCGATGTGAATTAAATTATTCGATTGTGATTTGTACTCTCTTTTTCCAATTATCGGGGCAAATGCGGACGACGTTGTCCGAGGTCTAGAAGAAATGTTTTCTCCTTCGCACCGCGATGAGAACAAATTAGTTGGCAATTAGTCTCCGACCTACGCAGCCTTGAGCGTCACTCGACCTTCGCATTACGTCTTACTTACGGCTAAAGAACTCCCAAGCGGCTCGACGGGGACTTGGAAAAATCGTTGAGATTTGCAACGAATAGGAACGAAAGTAGACGTACGTGTGCGCGTGATGATTTCCCAGATCGCGATAAGACACGAAAAACATCGAAGGAAGAGGATAAACAAATTACACAGTTTTATTAGAATTAATAAATATGTTATACAGTTATTTCGATGTATATATAATGCAAGTTTCATTGAACTCTTATCAAACTCGTTTCACTTTACAATCTCCGTAAATAATCGGAAAAAAAACAAAACGAACAAAGTTTCGAGAAAATTATGCATATTCCTAATGTCATAAATTTCATTGGAAAATATATGTATTAGGTTGGTAGAAAAATAGTCGGTTTTATATATATTTGATTTTGCTACTTGTTTTTGGAATAAATATTTCTTTTAATATATTCATTTTACGAGGTCTGTTCAAAAAGTATCGCGAATTTTGAATTTCCGCGGGTTACGTATATTCGATTTTCGATTTTTTTGTGGCGTTATGTTGGTACTCATGTCCCTCACTTATGCCGACAAGTTCGGCCATTTTGAATATTCAGTTTATCTTTGACAGCTGTTTTGCTTG